TATAACATCCTAAAGATTTAAGAAACACTGTCAGTTCCTTATACATACAACAAATATTAATATTATTCATGTACGTTATACATGTATTCTTGTTACGTGCGTAACTTTTCAAATTCTAATATGGAAAAATAACATGAATTTTCTCATATTTCAGCTGTAATGGTTATAAAATGAAAATATGATATTAAATCCGATTGTCTGAATTATTAACACATCCAATTTTAGTAACATATTTCATTAATCTTATTATTTCTCTAGTTGCTAAAAATTAAATTTAAGAATACAAGTTAGGTATAATATTTTATAATTTAGGAATTTAAATGTACCACAGGAAGTTGTGTGCAATTATTAAAACTGCAAGGTTATTAAACTGCAACAGCAACTGAAATAGCAGCAGTAAAACTGCAAACAGCAACTGTAAATTATGGCCTACACATATAATCACAGTTATATTTGCTTAGTTTTATAAAGCCATCTAGCCGAATAGATGTGCGCGACAATTAGAAAATACTACAATACAAAACATAATATGGGGGTTTCCGTTTAAGCACGATGCGTTGAAGTTCTACATTAGAACTAAAATTTCTAAGTTGCCAGCGTTAAACAGTATACAAAAACCTTAGCTAAGTTTTTTTTTTGTTTACGCAGTCTTGCTCAGGAACTTGTAAATAATTAGTCGTTCGAAAATAACAGAAATGACGTTGTTTATGAAAATGTGTCCCAATACTTTTCGACTTCCAATTCGCTACAAAACAAAGAAATTTTAAGAAGATTTAAAGAAACTTAAAGGAAACTTACTTTAAAAACCCTTCAATATTTGAATCTGCCATTTTGAATTTATAAAATTTTTTTTTTCAATTTTAAATTTTAACAAAAAAAAACCAAAAGAAATTTCATGAGACAGCGAAAAAATTTAAACTAAGGTCTGCGCTACATTTCTAACATTATCAACAGATTGAATTTCGGATTGCATTTTATTACAGCCAGTAATTTCCGAACAGTCTATATTTTCAGTGTATGTAGCGTGAATTTTTGAACGTACTACAAGTTAGAGCTATTCTAGAGCTGAATAAACGAAAGCCCTTCATATTCTACATATCATATAATCAGTTTGTTCGAGTATGACAAAATTAATTTTTGATAATTAAAAAACAATACACCTAATTCGAGAAACCTTTTATCCTCAACACAGTCACGCAATTAATTTACGTTTATTTTGATAAATATAATTTTTTTCTGTTTTAGTTTTAGTGCAATTTTTTTCTGTTTTTTTTTTTGTTAATTATTTTAATTTAAAAGTGTCATATTTAACCTATAAATATCACATTGTTAATTTTGTAATTTATTTCATATTCTTTTATTTAAAACCGAAAAAAAACTGCAATAATTTCATGTGTTATAACTTGATTAAAGTTATAATTAACTGGAAATCAAGTCTGAGACAAACTATACGAAATAAATTAATTCTCAATATAATTAATAATAATTAAATAAACTCCTAAAAATTAATTTTTAATCAATATTATATAAATTGGATAAAAATCTTCATTTTTTTTTTTAAAACATAATTAATAAAAACTCGTGTAAAAAATTAAATGTAAACGATACAAAATTTTTTAGTTCATTTCTGAATATTCAAATATTTTGTTGGAATAAAAAAAAAAACAAAAACTATTCAACTTTATAAAATTTGTCCCACTTTCTCAAAGTCAAAACTTTTACTTCTTTTAAATAAAATAAAATAAATAAAGAAGCAATAATATAATATAAAAATGCAGGTAAAACATTATTATTAAAAATTTTTTTTTTTACCTTTTGTGCAAATTGAAAACTAATTTACACAAAAAATTAGTATTAGTGTAGTAAACAAAACGAAAATAATAAAAAAAAGTATTGTAGTACCGCTAATAGTATACAAAATTTTAATATATTAATAGTTAGTCTAACTACAACCAGATGTCTCTCTTCTGTATTTATTTAAATTTAAATAGTTTAATATTTTTTTTTTCGTAAAATTACCTTCATTTACATGCATATTAACATTCTTTGCACTTAAAAAATTTTGAATGAACTTTTTGAAAATTAAAATGTTAATTTAAGCATATCCATACATACATACATACATTAATATAAATTATAAATTCAATGTTAAAAAGCACGTTGGAAATCATTTAAGTGTTGGGTAAAAAAAAAATAAAAAAACAAATATAAAATCTAGGCTTATACAATTAAATTTCACAGTTGATTGTATTAAAACATACTGGAATACTTTATTTCTTATAATGTTAAATTTTTATGTAAAAATTTCCTAAATTTCAGCTATAAAGGTAATTGAACTATTCGTTTCCAGAAAGATTCATACATTTTTTTCTGTACAATTTATTTACGAATTTATTATTTATTTAATTATATCATTCATTCTATCATTAGCTTTATAAAAATATATCATTTGCCAAAAATAATATTAAAATTGTTATAATTCTAACAACAGCATAATCTACATATAACTGAAAAAAATCCTAGCACGTTTTCTTGTTATTTGGGAGTAAAAACTACAAACTGCAAATCTTAATATTGTTAGCGTTCCATTAAAAGCCATAAAACACTCTAAATATATAACACTCTAGGTGTATATACAATTTCAAACTCACATATGAAATTGTAAAGCCATCTACATGAGAAAATTTTGTATAACTATACCACTTCGGAGCATCGATTGCTCGACAAATACAGTATGCAGGGTAATATACACATAGAGTGTTATATATGTTATACATTTAGGGTTTTATATATACATTTTTAAATGGAATGCTATAAAATATTTATTTAATAAATAAGAGGAAGAAAGTTATAAAATATTTGTTAAATATTTAATTTTTTGTCAAAAAAAAAATTTTTTTCTTACAAAATTTCTGAATTAAATATTTCTGAAAAATATTTTTGCACTAATATTTTTTTTGAAAATACAAAATACATACAAAATCTATATTAGTATATAGCAATATAAAGTTTACACACTTCGAATTATACACACTTCGTCCAATTTTAGTTTGACTCCTACTTTAGGCGTGATGCAAGCAAAATATGAGGGAATTATACACATTTCGTCCAATTTTAGTTTGAACCCTACTTTAGGCGTGATGCAAGCAAAATATGAGAGGTTCAAAAGTGGAAAAGCCTAACCTGAACTGTGACGTAAATTGTGTCCGCACTGCGACTTGAATAGTTTAACTTACACCTATTATAAGTTGTGACAATCTGTTTCTAAGCTCTACATGAATATATTTTAAGAAATTTTAGAAAAAAAATTATGCTATTTTTTTTTAAATTTATTATGATTTTTACAAAATTTGTAAAATTTTGCAATTTTCAAGAAAAAAGGGATAATATTTTTCTTAACCTCTCTCACCTTGTTGGCCTGATAAATATATAATGTACGGCATTAGATAAAGTCCAAAAAAATTGTCACATACTTAAACTTCAAAAAATTTTTCCCAAATGTGTCATAATTCAAATTTTTTAAACAAAATAAAAAAAAACTTTAAAAAATAGAAATTAAAAAAATTTTTTTTTTTAATCTTCTGTAAATAATTTACAATTTTTTTCAATAACACTAAATAACCACGGAATTTTCAGAAAACACATGAAATACCAGATTAAAAATGATTAAAAGATTAAAATGTTATATCTTTTGCGTATATTGTACATAATATGTACATACTATAAGCCTACACCTGCTTTATATAATTAATTTTAAAAACGAAATTCACTAAGTGCACTTATAATTTAAAAAAAAAAAATGTACTCGTATGTATTTACAATTTTATTTTAAACTAATAGAAATCAAGTATTGGATTTATTTTTATGGTGAAAGTGACAAAAATGTATGACGTATAAAAATTTTGAAAAAGAAATTACTAGAGAATTTTTTATATATGTAAGTATGAAATTGACAAATTATTCAAAAGCGTTTTTTTGGAAAACTGTTTTCCAATATATGAGTATGACGTATACCATGACGTATAACATATGTCATACTATAACGTATTAGCATATGTCATATAACAGTTTTAATTTTATTTTATATTTTGTATATAGAGCTAAAAAATTACATGCATACATTTTTACACATGAAACGTAAAATACCTATATAAGTATAAATTTTAAGAAAAAATTAAAATATGTGGCATATAATAGCAAATTTACACGATAAAATATGTATGTACTTTGAAATGTTTACAATTTCGATTTGATAATATAAGATTACAATAATATGAGTAATATTGCTTTTGACATAATTACGTAGAAATATTTGTGTTCTATTCACATATGTTCATTCATGAGCTTATTATATAAATAATTTGTAAAAATGGAACGATCCTTTTCAGTATACATATAAGTAAAAAATGGCCTAAATTTTTTGGGAATAACCATTTTTCTTTTCCTATATAATGTAGTTTTTTTTCTGTTATTTTTCAATAAAGTCAATTTAATAGAAAAAAAAAACGATATTTTAAATATTAACTCCAAAATAACTCCGAAAATATAAGACCCATGTGTTGAAAATTAAAAGTACTATTTTTCAACTATTTGTTTGTTCCAGGTACGTACTGTAATTGTGCTCAGTTTTGGCTACTTACGAGTAATTTGAGCATGTAAATGGCACGTAAATAATAAGTATGTGCAAGTATGATTATATTTTATGTATGTATGTATAATTTATTATTTTTTTTTTAAATAATTTCACACTTAAATGATTTCTACCGTTTTATTACAATGTTGTTATTAATTTACATTCCAAATCGTTATTTTTATTTTTTTTGTATAAATATTGATTTAATGAACCAAAAATCCCAAGAACTATTTTGTAAGACTTTAAATAACACGTTTATAATTGAAAAGAAACGTGAAATAAAAAAGAAGTATGTAAAAATAAAAATGAATGGTAAACAAGCGTTCTTGTTAAATTTTTTTTTTTCTTTAATTATTTTTATACTCACTTGCTAGGCTAAGTATAATAAAAATAAATTTAAAGTAAAACATTTTTTTTTTTTTTATTTCAAAATTATATTTTTTTATGATATTTTTGTATTTAATTCACTTTATATTTTTCTTTTTTTAATTAATTAAAATTAATTAATAAAAAAAATTTTGTTTTTGTTTTCAATTAACTTGACTAGAGTTAAAACGACTATATAATATTAGAGAAATATAGATGGACGAGATAAAAAAATATAAAAACTTGAACTTAAATGAACCAATGGAAAGTTTTAAATATATTTAATTTTTAGGGGAAAATTCAATTTGCATTAAGAAAATTTTTTCTTTTAAATCATTCGTCTGATATTTCAATAATTTAAAATTTTTAATTTAAAAAATTTAATTATAAATATTTAATTTTTTTTCTCTTTTATTATTTCTTATATTATTTTGACCGAACAATAATTACAATTACGTTTTTTACGTAAATCTTCACGCAATAAAATTTATTTTTTTGTTTTCTTTCTTTTTTTCAATGAATGCACACAATTATTTTTAATTAATTATTAATTTTTTTTTTATTTTCCTTTCTTTATTTAATTTTATAATTTATTTATAATTTTTAAAATTTTCTTAAAATAAAATGATAATAAAATTAATTCAATCATTTCAAATTTATAAAAAATAATACAAAAATCGCAACATTTAAAAAATTTTTAATATTTAAAAAAATAATTATTAAAATCAAAAATAAAAATAAAAAAAAAAATATTTTTTCGCTTTAAAACTTTGGCGTTAACGGGCCAATATTGCGTATTTTTGACTTTAAAAAAAATTGATCTAAACTCAAGCGACTCATACGGAACACTGAATAAACTAAAGCGAATATTGGTAAAAATTGAAATATATTAAATTTTAACTTATTATTTTCTATACTATATACATACACATATGTATGTATATGTACATGTGTCAGTTTTAGTACTTTTTTTTTTAATTCTTTGAAAAAAATTTCGCTTTTTCATATTATTTTTATTCAGCTTCTTTTTTTCTTCATTTTTTATTTGCTTTTTTTTTTATTTTCCTTTAGTTTGGTTTTCTTAAGCCAAGAAGAAGGTTCAATTTTAAAGAATGTTAACTATAAGATATTATTAGTTATTACTGTTTGTATTTAAATTTATAGGGTATGTGAATATAAAAATTTTCATAAATGAATTACTTCAAAAATATTGCTCACGTTATGCAATGTATTTTTTTGATAATTTTATATAAGAAAAATAATTCCATTTAATATCGCTTTTTAATATCCGCTTTTCATAACAATTTCAGTATGGCACTATTTCATTATTGTCACAGAATAACGAATTAAAGGAAAAGTGAATGAAAGACAAAAACTACGTTTCACTAAAAACTATGAGTGATAAAATAATGACAGAAGACCTCTATTTTGCTGAAAATTAGATAAAATTTATGAAAAGAACTAGATTAGCAATATTTCTTTTATGAACAATAAATATAACACAGTGTCTACTATATCGCACATTTGCGAAAAAAATGGCATAAATTAATATTCCAGAGTCGTAAACTTGCTTTTATTACTATTATATTTTATTATACAGAAAATTTGTTCATATCATTGTAGAATCGTTCTATAGTAACATTTTCTAGCCTTCTATTGCAAATTACACTTGGCTATAAATACTTCAAATTTCGGGAGTGAAAGTTACATTTTTGAGTTGTGTTTTTCCAACTTTTCATTATTCTTCCCAATGTGCGATATGTATGTACCTACGTATATTGCGATTTGCGATCTATTGCGTTTATAAAATTTCACATAACATCACATGCACGAAATTCAATAATATCACATGTTGAACTCTATGGTAAACTTTAAAAAATTTATACATAAAAAATAAGTCTAATCCAAAATATTATAAATTTTAATATTTTAAAAAAATATTGATGTTAAATTAATTTGAAGTTTCACTTATAACATTCCATGAATAAAATTTTCCCATTATTTTCTTCTATAAAGAGTTTATGCTAAGCAACTAATAAAACTTTATTAAATAGCGTGTGTATACGTTAAAAAGTAAGAATAAAAGTTAAGTAATTCAAAACGTTTTATTATAATCATAATTCAATTTAAAAAGAATTCAATGTTACAAAAAGCGTTATGATCACCGAACTAATAAACTTAATGGTTAAGGCATACGTTTGTATGCATATGAATACAAATACATACTTTATTTTATATACATACATATGAAATGAACGTATATATATTTAGTTATCATGTCATTTACCATAGTTCATAACTTGTTCAAACAGTTAAACTTGATTACTGTATATAGTAATCGTACTAACTGTATATAAATACTTGTGTTTAATGTTTCAACTCTAAAATATAACTGGATGCATTCACACTATATTTATGTATGTACATTTATATCTGATTCATATTTAGTAGAGGAAATTGCAAGTCTTATTACTTTATAATTTTAAAAGCTTCTTAAAATGGATTGATATCAACTGGTTTACGGCAAAAATACTATTATTGCGTGCTCTTTTAAAATTATTTTTATCTATACATACATACATACATATACTGAAATTATCAAGTTTATTTTATATTTAAAATAATTTTTGTTTGCAAAATTATTAAAGTTTGCAATAATGCAGGAATAAAATTTATACATACATGTACATAGCTTTTATTTGTAACGTATGGCTAAGTTAACCGTGAAACAATTTGATGAAAAAATCAATATTTGTATTATCATTATTGTATTGTATTTTCTATGTTTGAATTTATTTCTACTTATGCACATACATAATATGATAATTAAATTTTATTTATATATGTATATACACATAATTAGATTTGAACTTGAATGTGCACTCCGATATTCGAATACAAAAAATATTAAACAGAAAATTAACTAAAATGAAACACTCACCGAAAAAATATAATATGTAATAAGTAGTAATATGTAACTTGTAACTTAAATCTTAAAAACAATTTTTTGTTGAATCATTACAGATTTACAGGAACTAAACTAGTTTACTTCTTCAGATTTTTAATGTCTCACATTTTTCTACGTGACTTTTTTTTTTCAATTTTAAAATATTTTTGCAATATTTAAAAAAAAAATCTTTAAAAATGCTAGAGAACGAATACTCGTACTTCTTAATGTTGGAATTACCAAGTTTTACTGTTCTAACCTTAAGAAACTACATTTTCAAAAATATTCAATCTTAAGTATGCTTACATACGATTTTTAAATGTGATTCTTTTTTAGTAAAGATTTATCGAGTATTGTTACATTTGAAGAATTTGTAGTTTTGATTTGATGAGTCTAAATTTTCGAAAATCAACATACTTACTCTTAATTTAAAAGTTCACGTTTAAGAGGATATAATATTTTAAATAACATTATTTATTTATATTATACAAAAAAAAAACACAATAAATTTATTTATTTTATTTATTTTTTTTTTTTATATTTATGTTTATTTTTATTATTTAAATATAAATATTATTTACATTTCGTATTATATTTTTTTTTGTTCTTATATTTAAAAAAAATAATAATAATAATTATAATAATAATATTAATAATAATAATAATAATAATAGGACAATATAATAACAAATACAAAAGAGAATTGTTAATTTAAGCAATACTTGAAATTTGAAAGAAAATAAATATATTTTTTTGTTTGTCACATATGCATATATATATAAATATATGTATATATGTGAATACGCACTTATATATGTAGGTATATATATATATATAAATATATATATACATAGAATATATAATATATTTTTTATTTTTATATTTTAATTAAATTTTTATTTTAATTATAATTATTATTTATTATTTTAAATGTATTTTTTCTTTTTTAATTTTTTTTTTATTTAATTCTTTTTTTTTTTACAAAAATAATAAAGCATTTCATCCTTTATTAAAAATGTTTAAACGAATAACTATATAATTAATTATAAAGTAAGTTATTATGTTTTTTTTTTCTTAATTTTTTTTTTGTTTTTATTTTTTATGTTTTATACAATATTACAATACATTTTACATTTATTTCTTTGGGTCATTAAAAATTTTAGTGACTGTTTTGCTTGTTTTCTATTTTTTAATTAATTTATATTTTTTAATATTATATTATTTTCTTTTTTGTTAATTTTTTTTTTTTTTTTTTTGAAATTTTCATAACATTATTTTTATTTTAAATTTAATATTTTTTTTTTTAATTTATTTTAAATTTTTTATTTTTATAATTTTTTTTTTGTATAAACATTTCTAATAACTTTTTTTTTTGTTTTTTTTTTTTTTTTTTTTTTTTGATAAGAAAATGTGTTAATGAACTGAAAAGAAAATCATTATAAATTTTCTTTCTTTTTTTTTTTGTTATAGCTATTATTTTTTATTTCAAACATTTTATAGATGATTTTTTATCTATATTATTTTTTAATTGTTGTAGATTTTGTTCTATAGTTTTTGATTGGTTCACTTTATTTTATTTCAAATGAATTTTGATGGAAATAATTTGAATATTTTGTATGTTTTAAATTTTATACATACAAATTTAGCAGCACCAAAAAAACAAAACAAAAAAAAAAATTTGTTTAAAAATCTGGCCAGATAAAAGAACATCAATTTTAATATTTTGTTTTGAAAACAAAAAAAAATTATTTGAAAATTTTGTAAAATTTTCAAAGTAAAATTTAATTTTTAATTTTATTCAATTAAAAAATTTTGTAATTAAACGATAAATAAATGAAATAATTAGGTTACATAACAAATATAATTTCATTTTAGGTTAGAAAAATTTTTTAAAGGGTGAAAACTTCCCATAAACATTGTGCTTCTCCTTTACTTTATTTTTTTTTTTAATTTTACTAATTATAACATATTTCCATATTTTAATAGGCATTAATAACTTTTTCAATATTTTTTCCTTTTTTTTTTCTTTTTACTAAAAAGATGTTATTTGGATTTTAACAATTTATTTAAATATAATAAAAAAAATATATGTACAAAGTTTGAAATACATATAAAAATTTCAGCGTCTTAATATACACTGTATTTATGAATTTTTGAAATTTAATTCGCGATTAATAAAATAGAAAAAAATATATATAGAAAAATACATTACAAGTAGGAAAAAAATGTAAATCAAATTTTTGACGAAAAAAAAAATCCACACTTTTTTTTAATTTTCATTGACCACAATTGCAATTTCTTTTTTTTTTTTTTATAATTACATAATTTATTTTGTTAACAATGTAATTTTCTTGTTTTTAAATTAATATTGAATAAAATATAAAAATATGTAAAATAAAATTGAAATTTTATAATTGTAAAATGAAAAATAAATAAAAATCCTATAAAATATTTAAATTACAATATTATTAATGAATGAATTTGGATTCACATTTATGAATGATTTGTTTTTTTAGCTTTTTTAATAAATTCTTAAACAAATAGTAATTTTAATAATTGCAATTTCTATGTGAACAAAAGTGAAAATAATTCTACTTATTTAATAATTTTTTCATATTTTAAATGTATGTATAAGTATATGAAAATTTTATTTTATTTAAAAAGTAATATTTAATGATAATTTTAAATTTATTTAAAAACATGTAATCCTGAATATGCGCCTGAATTAAACTTATCAGAATCGAATGCAATAAATATAAAATTTTATATGAAAAAATTAATAATAAAAATTATTAAAAAGTAAATGTTTTTATTTTTGTTTTTCTTAGTATGGAATTTATTAAGTAAAATCATATTATATTAAAAAAAAAATTTAGATAAATACTACATGCAATTATAAGACAATATTTTAAAACTAATTCCATTTACAATTTTAAAATTCAATATTGAAAGTAAAATTGAAAATTTTTTAAAATAAATAAAATAAAATTTAAAAAAAAATTTAAAACAAAATTTATGTATTAGCGAAATTTTTTCTATAATTTCCGACTGATCATGATTTTAGCAATTTAATAGAAATATTAGAAAATACCAATAGGTAATGTTCTACTTCATTTTTCGTTTTGAATATAATAATGAAAAATGTATTATGATACAATTTAATGGTTGAAAATGCGTTAAATATAGAATTCAACTATTATTTGAATTATATATGCAAATAATATAGAAATTTATGTATCAAACATTAAAAAAAAAATAGGAATAAAATTAATATTCAATGTATAAAAATATTATATTGAAATATGTAGTATTAAAAAAATGTATACTTAAAAATTATAAAGTAAGTAATTAAAGTACATTCATTGAAATGAAAATATTAAAAGTTTTTTCAGAATGTTGAATAGGGCTCTATTGCATCAAACCATTGTTTTGTTTTCTTTTTGTTTTTACTTTTTAAATTTTTCATTCGTTCATTAGCATTTTGTTTCAGTTCATTAGCATTTTGATTTTTGATGCAACAGAAACTTTACAAAATATTTTGATTAATTATATAAAAAACAAAAAAAGTAAAAAGTACAATAGAGTGCGGAAAACTCGAAACTAATCAAATTTTGCATTCTTAAATTTGGTCTATTTTAAATTCTTCAATTAAAATTACATTTATGTTAAAAGAATAAAAATTACATAATATAATTTATATTAAAAACAATAAAAGATTTTTTTGTTATGAATTTAATTTAAAAATTTGAACAATTGTTGATTAGCTTCCCATAACAATTAAAGTTTAGTTGAAAAATCTTGCATTTTTACATAATTATTTTGATATTATTGAATAATAAAAACTATGGAAATTAAATCAAATAGAAATTAGATTCAAATTTATATAAAAGTATTTTTTGGTTTTTGAAAAAAATTAATGTTTTTTTTTTCTTTTTGTCTCCGTTTTTTAATTTCAGTACGTTCTTAAGTTTCTTTTATGTTGTGTTTATCGTGGCTAAATTTTTTTTGAAAATATTTTTTTTTTAATTGTTTTTTTTTTTATTAAATTCATCCCATTTAGAAAAAATTGTATTTTTTTTTCTTTTGCAATAATTAATTCATATGACTTGCCTAAAAACAAGAATTTTACATATTTCTTTGTTTAATTTTTTATTTTTAATGATTACATATCAATATAAGGGTAGTTTATTTTTTAACTTTTACTTAAAAAAAAAAATGTAAAAAAAGATGATTTATTTAATTATAAAAATAAGCAGTATACAAAATTATTAAAATTGTTCATCTCCGTTCAATTTTATTAAAAAATTAAAAGACACATAAAATAAACAAATAAAGAGAAAATTTAACATATAAAAAATAGAGTAAAAAAAATCACAAAATTTTAATATTTTTAATTAACATTTTTTTCTAGTTTCTTTACAAACTTGCAATATAAAATTAATATTTCCTTTTCGTTTTTCATTTTTTTCATTTTAAATAAAACACAATTTCACACTGAACTTCCCTTGTAATGTTTTGGACAATTTCTAAATAATTTAAAGCTAGTTTTCTTTTTTGTTTTATAATTATTTTTTTTTTAATTATTTTATTTTTATAATTTAATTTAATAAAAAGTGTTTAGAGTCCTCCAAAACAATTTGGAAATACTTCAATTGTGAAAATGTGAAAAAGTTTTTTTTTTGTTCTTTTTCAGGAAAATAATTGCTTTCAATTTTTTTACACATTTTTAAATTTTTCCTATTTTTAAAATTTATTTCATAAAATTACAAAAATTTTTTAATTAATTTACTATGTCTTGTTGTTCTAATAATAAATTGACTTTAAAATAAACATAAAGAGTAAAACGCTTACGCGGAAAGTAACGTTATGCAAAATTATTAAAAAAAAATATAGGAAAAATAAACAACATAAAGTCCTTTTAGTTTATAAAAAAGGAAATACGCTCTTTTAATTCTTTTTTTTTAAATATACGCTTTTTTATTTTGCTTTTGTTGTTTTCTCACTATTTTTCTAGAAAATAAAAGTTTTATAACAAAGTCCTTATTACTTTCCTTATTTCTTTATTTTCTTTTTTTATGTTTAAATTAATTTATATTTTAAATATTTTAAAAAGTTTTTTTTTTTAATTTATAATTCTAATATCGATTCCTTTTTTTTTAATTTTTTTTTTTGCTTTTTAATGTTATGTTTTTAGTTAAGTGTATTGTTAAATGCAATGAGAGCATCAATTTAACATACAAATTAAAGTTTTTACTTTTGTTTTTTTTTTTAGGTTTTTTATTTAATTATAATTTTTTGTTTAAAATGCTGAAAATCCACTAGACAATCGATCAATTGATCTGATTTCTTTAAATTTCTTTTGCTTCTTTGTTTCAACAAGTTTCAGTAATTCTTATTCGTTAATTATTAAGATCTGTTTTCTTATCGTTGTCCACAAAATTATTGGTAGCAGTAGTAGTAATTGTTGATGTATCAAGTTCGGCTACTGTTACAATATTCTCCTTTTTTTCATTTGTCACTTCAGATGTATTTCCTTCAATAGTTGGAGGGGACTTAAAGTAAAATAATTCAATATAAATAATTTTTAATACAAAAATTTTATTTAAAATAAAATAATAAAAAAATAATAAAAAAATTGATTTTCAATAAATTTTTACAAAACAAATTAACAAAATATCTCTTTTGCGAAATTGTGAACATCAAATTAAATAGAACGGTTTTTAAGTACGTCACATTCAAATGAGAGTTGAAAATCTCTTTCCTTTTCATTTCTAAATACCTTATACTCGTATTTGCATAACTATTAAATTGTAGTAAAATTGTTTACTTACTGGATTTTTTATACTTAGTTGACTCATGCTTGTATTAAGATTTTCACTTGAATTTCCTTGATTAAGAGCTACTATAGTCGAAGTGCTTTCTGAATTAACTTTCATCACTTGCTTTGCAGACACAACAGTTGGTACCATTATTACAGTTGGATTTACAACAGGCCGTTCAGCTTCGCTTACTTTAGAAATAATTTGATGCTGTTGCTGTTGTTGTTGTTGTTGCTGTTGTTGTTGCTGTTGTTGTTGCTGTTGTTGCTGCTGTTGTTGTTGCTGTTGTTGTTGTTGTTGCTGCTGTTGCGGTTGAACCTGTTGATGTTGTTGCTGTTGTTGCTGCTGTTGTTGCTGTTGTTGCTGTTGTTGTAATTGCTGCTGCTGTGGGGGTCTTATTGAAACATCTTCACCTTGCTCTACGTCTGACTCATTGGTTTCTTCTTGATCCTGCAAAAAATAACAAGAAAAAAAATTGTTGTATTTGATTAAAAAATCGATATAAAGTTAACACTAACTTCTTCTGGGCACAATTCATATGCTAACGCCAAAATGTTTTTGGCCGATTGGGATCTTTCCAACATGTAACCATTTGTATTGTCATTACTTTGGGCTGGAGGTGACCATGAATAATTATATTGGCAGCCGATTCCCCTTTGGCGTTCTAATTCATCTTGTAACCATTCAACTGCTACAGCCCAATGTCTTGTAATCATAGGATTTGTATTTAACATGGCTAACGCAACGTTACTTCTTCTAAAAAGTTGAACTAAGCACTTTATAATTTGATACGCTCTTTTTTGATAATGAGTTTTGGCTCTTTGTATCGTATCTAATAAACCTTCTCTTTCTTCTGCCACACCCATTAAGGCATTATGTATTCTATGATTTTGCCAAGAATCTTCAATTAAAAGAACATTTAACAATAATTCAGTATGATGTCGCATGTCATGACAATAAGCGAAACCACATTGCCATAAGAGCTCCGTTAAAACAGAACGCGAAAAATGTGGGTTTTCCCAACTACAAAATTGTAACAATTTTAGACCTTCTTCGCCGACATTTACATCTTCAATTAACTTTTTAACGTAACTAAAAACAAATACAATAAGTTAATAAAACTTTTAAAAAAAATTGTTCATGTACAACCTAGTTCTGCCAAATAAAAGTTCCGTAGCTTCAACTGATAGACACATTAAATTACTTGCATTGGGTTCACCATATATATTTGGCAACGGTTTCGAATTTTGTGTAGAACTTTGACATCTTGATGATATATCGCTACATCGAATTAAATGAGAAACTACTTGATGTAGTTTACTAAGTTCCGGGTATTGATACTTGATTGGAGGGCCAGGCCCTTCATCTAAAGCAACTTGCATAAAAATGGCAGGCACGTTTAACTGCACATAAAAAAAATGATCATAAAAATTATTGTTTACGAAATTAATAAAATTTTATAATACCTTTAGCAATTGTAATTTCTCTCTAATACCAAGACCAGCATACATACTAAATATACTAAAATAATGCGCCAAATGTTTTCCATGATCAGGAACTTCAGACTTAAGTAACTGAAGAATACTAATCAAAACTTGTTCGCATATATAGTTCCCATCAAAGCCTGGTAATGGTTCATCAACAAGTGAAAAATGACAAAAGAATACTATTAATTTAACAAATACAGTTCGAACTTCAGGTGATTGTGCGGCTAATATATACTCAGATAGCCTGTTAGGAGAGTTTAGTAAAACATATTGAGCAAACCATCGACGTACGTTCGAGGAAAGTCTTATGTGATGAGATAGTGAATCATACCTATTAATAAAACCATAATTACTTACAAATCATTTAACAAAATTATTTTCAATTACCAATCAATAGCTGGACCACGCAACGATTTTTTAGTTCTAAACCCGAATTGGAAAAGAAACTGAGAAGCTAACTGTATTCCTAGTAGCGATAAATCTTCTGAATTTATTAAAGCCTGTTTAAAAAATGAAGACAGTTCTTTGAGTAAATCAAATTACGTTTTTAAATTTTTAAATTTTGAAATTACCAATTTTTCTCCTCGAGATGATGACACATTACAGCTAACAAGCTTTTTTATGAAATTGAAAAATTCTGGGGAGAATATGGTCTTCGAATGTAAAAATCGGATATTTTGAATTCTAAAAATTTTAATTTTGATTAAAAAATTTAATTTACTTTTTTTACTTGAATAAAATACCGAACACTCTTTTCTATTGGTTTAGGCATTGGTAGGACCAAATTGCGACTTTCTGCTAATGAAAGTTGTTCAATACATGGTTCTATTTGAAGAGGTTTTTGATCACAACGTGTATAAAATAACATATATGCGTTCCACCATCGTTTTTGACGCCTATATTGCATTCGCTTTAAGGTATTGTCGTAAACTTCACCCATATATTCGCCACCAAAACACTGAGCTTTCATTTCTTCGTCTTCGTGCATTTTACATTCGGTGACTTCACCATCGTCAAATTTGTACCATGTACCTTTTTCAGTTTTTGGATCCCTTAAAATTTAAAGATTACTTATATTAGTATAACTAACACCTAATCTAAAAAAAAGTATTACTTATGAAGAATATAACTAAAATAATGTCCGCCAGATGCTTGCCCACTATGGACAACAATTCCAGTTAAATCATATTTTGTTACAGCAGTTTGATCATCTAAACCTTCTTCTATATCTATAACTTCACCTTCTAATTTTGCTAATCCAGAAACTGAAATGGAAAGATATTTATTTAAATTTCATAGAATTTTTTTATATTAATTTTTCGACTTACCTGTATACGGCTCCATATCTAATGACCTAGGAAATTCAAAATAGTCATTGAATTTAATAGCACAAACTCTTTCGTAATCATATTCAAATCGTTTGAGCTGAATTGCTAATACTGGTGGTAGTTTTCTAACACAAAGCCGTTTGACGGTAACCACCTAAATAAGACATATGAATTGTAAGTTTAGAAAAAAATCGATTAAATTATCAGAAATACCTTTTTATCACATTTATCACAATGATAAGCATCAGCTCCTTCTAATAACTCTCCTTTAACGTACTGTTCAAGGGATTCTGTTAGTGAACTATGATTTCTAATATCAACGCTGAAAACACTAAATGGTTCTTCTTTAGAATATCTATGCGGACACTCCTGACATATTTTTTGGTCGCTAAAACAACCGCCTAATGTGGCTCCCATTAACTGATTATGTCCTAAAGCTTTTAGACCTTCATCAAGACTTTCAAATAGAGACATAAAAAACTCAACAGCATCTTGCTGTTCCCTTAAGTTAACTGGCTCTCCTTGCAGTCTATAAAATTAATTTATAGTATTCGATTAAATAAACTACTCTACTTTAACTTACTTAAAATGTGTCCATAAGCCACGTGGAACGTAAAATTGCAATGCACTATGCCCTAAATGAGCAAAAATTGCCTGAACATACTTAAGTATCCCTATATGATAAGACTTCCTGTTACTTGCTGAATCACAATGTTCAAAATTTGGCGATGACTCAGATTCACTGCTAAAATCCTCGTCAAAATCGGTAGCTGCACCTTCGGCTGCTAATATTCCGACCCTAATTGATGGTACCATATATAATTGCTGAAGGACTGAGTTCATATAGCATGTCGCGCCTGCATTTTTTAGTCCACAAAATCCTTTTGGAGGACGTGGGCCGATGGGTGGAAGATATTCCCATTCTCGCAACGGTTCCGTTTCTATAAAAAAATAAAGTATTTGTATTTCTAATGACAGTAAAAGTAAAAATCAAATTTACCATTAATTATCTCAATTAAAGTGGTTACTAAAAGTTTCATATTTGAAACACAATTTTGACAAAGCGCTACTAGTAAATCGCACGCTGCAGCTATCGTATGTGGACTTCTACACACAGGAGGTGGATGAAAGTAATTTTTTAAGTTTCCTGTTTGCTTCAAATATAAATGTTGACGTGAAGCGGGAAACAAAAAATCATCTATTAATTCCACAATCAATTCATTGAGTTGCAATTTCAAATCAGGCACAAGATAAAACAATAATTCTTTAGCTAAATTTAAATGACCCTCAAGAAGATCTTCGTGCACCTGCGGGTCCCCAGTCTTTTTAACGTTGTCCCGAACAGCTCTTAACCAATTTATTTCTTGTGACAATAATCCGTCGCCAATTGTTAAAGGCCAATTGCACATGTTTCCATAATTTAATGATCGGCATAACAATTGAAAATAATCTGCACACGTGCTAGCATTTTCTGGTACTAAATTTTGTAAAGAGGATACTAATAATTTAACCATAAAGCCAAACGGTTTCTTATCAGCAGCGCAATATGTGCAGCTCAAAAATAATTGCTCGGATGCTACTTGCCTAACATGCCTTGATGGATTCATCAGTACTAGTGAAGTAATAAATTTCGGCCACATAGGATCTTTACTTAAATTTTCATTAGCACTTGGATTCAAAACTAAACTTATGGTTAACACTTCCAAAGCTTCTTTGCATAAGGCGAAATCTAATGATTCCGGCATGGAATTGATTTCACTGAAGTCATTTTTAGTCCCCAAATTTTTTAAATTTCCGGTGGAAGCAGCCCATGCCAAATTAACGATGGCTTTTATAGTTGGTAAATCTGGGCAAACCCATTTAAGCGCAGAGCCAAATAACATTCGGCACCTTGTACCTTCAGCACTTGCTGACAACATTTCCGCAGCTAAACTTTCCGCCAATTTTGTTGAAACTATTTTCAAAGTCTGCTCGGAGCTTCCAGGGATAGATGTCAAAACTTGCTTTAAAATTTCAACTTGAGAACGATTTGCTGTTTCATCGAAGTCAGACAAATTTGGTTCATTGCCAACTCGACTTAGAACACATCCAACGATATATAAAAATAATTTCACAAGCCTTAAAACACACTGAAAAGCAGCTCTTTTTGTATGCATATCGACATTGGGTAAAAAATTATTTTTGGTTAACAAATCTAAAATAAAATGGGCGACACCAGAATGTAACCATGCTATTTGCATATGTTGCGTTACTTCATTGCACAAATCGTAAGCTGGTATCAAAATTGCATGCAAAACTTCTAAATTATATAACACTTGGGCAGGAGTAGCATGCAAGAACAATGATTCAGGTGAAGGCGCATTGGAAGATGGTTGCTGCTGAAGTTGATCACCCGTAATTGTTACTTCATTATTTGTATTTACATTTAAAACTGAAACATTACTGCGAAATTTGCACATAATGTGTAACTGACGTACAATATATCTATCAATGGGTAATAAATGTAATAAAGCTCTAATACTATCGCGTAAATTTCCATGATGTAAATCACTACCAGATTGGTAAAGTTTAAGGAAAAACTCTGTATAGTGAGGTTTTTGTGAAATAATTACACCTGGTAAAGTTGCTTCTGATTCTGGCCTCTGCATATCAGGGCATGGTCGGGGAGGCGAACCTATACTTGAATCACTTGTACTATCTGGACTACTTGCTAATCCAGCTCCAATGGGTGTTAATTTCGCAGTTATTATCATTTTATCTCTTATTGTAAAGTGAGAGAGTGGAGACCTATCATCAGTAATTTCAATCAATTCTCCGTTATTATAATACAAATCTACTTTAATATTTGCTGTCGAGGTCCCTTTAATTCGTTTTAATAAGTTCTTTTTAAAAGAAATTACAGTCTCATTATTATGTGTAGATACTTCGATATCGTCTATAGGCCTCCCTGGATTTTGGAATCTTATATATAAATTCATGTATTTACCACGGCTAGCTCTACTTAAAGGCAGTTTGTAACGATCACCAGTAAATGACCTATCGCACTCTTTAATGTATTCCTGTAATACTTTCACAATACGGCACATTTTTTCAGCTTCAATAAAACGCATTTTGACGTCCTTAGATCTTGGATCTTCTTCAGTTATTGTTGTTGATGAAGTCAATGAATTATCATCGTTGATTGTTTTACTTAAAATTATTATGTTGTCATAATGACTTTTAAGACGATCACAGCACTCTCCAATAAAAAGTTCATGGAATTCGCTTATATTTGCTTGCAAGCGAGGACCCAACGCTGTTGACACCTCAATCAGTAGTTCTATTGCTTTATACGCAATGTTCTCACCAGCATTTGTTATTACTCGCCACAAATAATCTTTTCCGATCAAATCTTCGGTATCTAACATGTAACCACGATGGCTAGATTTCAACTTTTCTTCTTTCGAATTGACCGCCTTAAAAAATCTTTCAAAGCATTTGATTCCGCTTTCAGTTAATAATTGCGGATCAAGTTGCAAAATATTATTTTCAAAAAAATCTTTATTTATGCCTGGATCTAAGTCTGGCTCTTCACCCATTAATTTTCCAAACCAACGAAAACATTCTTCACGATCGCTTGCGAATATAGAAGTCACAGCTAAGCAATGCCAAATTTGTTTTGCCTGATCAGCACATAACCAAAGCTGACCATCTTTAAGTAAAAATTTTAAAAAGTCTAAACGTTCCTGAATCTGTTGGGGATGAGGATAACGACCATCAATGCAAATATTCTGAGGCTTCATTTCCGGGTTATCTTTAACAATGTTACGAACTTTATCCATGTAAGAGGTCAAACTATTTGTAACTAATATAACTAAAGAGTAATCATTTTGCAGGCGTTCTATAACTTGTTGTCTATTCATGGCTTGATGAGCACGGGGTGCATGACTTGCTGATGATTCATATAAACAACAAATTTCCCTAATTAAACGAAGTGCTGGTAAAACCCAACTTCCCCCTGACTTAAGCTCTTCAACACATTTATCTAACCATACAGTTTTTTGAGCATCTCGCTCTTGCGAACAACTGTAGTCTAAAATTTTCACATGAGCTGCCAAAGCTTGATCTAATACCTCCGGAAGTACTTCAGCACTGTGGGCCAAAGTCCAAAATAACTTCAATACGTTATGAGCCATAACCCCATTCTTATCATCTTCTGCAAGTCTTCGGATTAATTCCAAAAGACGCTCCCTTTGCCTCTTATTAGCAGTTGTCATACTTGCCTAAAATAAAAAATATTTTAATATTTGTTGATTTTACTTTTACACTTGCAAAATAGCTACTTGGAAACATTCAAATAGATGATCTAATTGATCCGGATTGAAATCCCATGCTAATTTTGCTAACAAATCATGTACATTCTTGACAATAGCCTCATGTTTTCCAGATTGAGCTTTCCAAACCGCATCCAAATCCTCTAACGTTAAAGCGTGCTCTTTTATTAGGAATCTAATTATTTTTTCTAATTTTTCAACATATTGTGGCTGATGCAAGGAATCTTTTAGAACTATCCCTAGCACATCATTCTCTTTTATCCATGTCTAAAAAAAAGCTATATTAAAAAAGTTTTTGACAACGAAAGTAAATAGTTACAGCCATGCGTTCGGCAGTAAGCCACTCCATATCTTCATCGGGTAGACAGTGCAGCTGCGTTGTTCGATGAGAATAGTATGCTACTGTAGTCAAAACTTTATTTATTTCATTTAGAGCATTCATTTTCCCATTAAAACTAGACACTTGAAGTAAGCGCAATATCATTTTTAATCGAAACATTTCTAAATCACGTATTAGATTTTCTTGATTTTGTAGACGACTTGCTAAACATCTTGCAGCTTTAACAATTCCATTTATATGATCGCTACGACCTTCTGGCTTAGCTTCCCTTTTGAGTTCATCGTCCGACAAACTGTCTAAAAGTTCCAAAACTACTTTCCAAATGGGCATAAAATATTTTTCGATTGTGGCTGGTGTAACCAATTCATAGCATTGGCCGAATGGACGCAAAAGTGCGTGTATTAATGGTAATGATAGCTTATCATCTATTAAACTATTTGAATCTATATTGAAATTTTTATTTTTTTCCTTTTCTTCATTTTCATTTGAACTTTTCAATAAAGCCACACCAGCATTAAATCTTTCTAACAAATAGTCAAAACCGTAGAACTGCCCAAAACGATTTATCAAATCAACTAGCCACCCTCTAGGATTTTTTGATTCACTTGGAGTTTTTGCAAACATTTGATTTTCATCTAATTCACCCCAAGGTGCCTCTGGTCCAAAACATTCTGGCTGCCGAGCTGCATTAAAGGTGTTAAACTTATTTTCTGGATCTAAAACCATAGCCAATAGGTCTAACAAATAAGGATTGTCCCGTTTCATATGAATCGCTATTAATTGTAATAACTTTCCGCAAGACATTAAAATACAGTGATGTATATTATATTTCCAGGAATTCACCGCTTCATCCGTTAAAATTTTGGCAAATGATGTAATCATTGCATTTCTATAGAATTCTATACAAGCTTCACAATCATAATCAACACCTGAAATATTATATAAAAATATTTTAAGCATTTTGTTTACGTAAATGTTAAATATGTAAAATACCAGCCAAAGTTAGTTCTATAGCTGCATTTAGCAAACATTCTAGTTCCTGTTCGGGAAGAACTGGCACAATCCATCGAGGATTTGAAATTTTTTGGGTAAGAGTTCTTAGTTTTGTGATTGGAAATGATGCAATTAGTTTTTCTGGAGAGCTACAGAAATTGAAAATCAAAAGAAAAAATATGTTTAATAGTTCTAGTGTAAATAAAAAATATTAGTACATTTCTCCTTCTCCAGAGGAAGATGCATCAGAATTCATTTCCGAAGATTCTGCAGCTTGCTGACCACGGGTATCAAATGTCATTCTTATAAACTTCTACACAGTTTTTTTAGCTTATTTCTTTCCCCCAAAATGTTTGGTATTTATATTTACATCATAAATACCAAAATCATTAGATACAATTTTTTTCTGTAATAAAAAATTCATTACCTATGTTATTTGAAAAATTAATACAGGAAACTAAATTACGTCTCAAATTCTTCAAGGTACCCTACATGAAAATTAACTAATTTGAAATATAATAAATAATGTTATAAACTTCTGCAATATTCTTTAAAGTTTAAGAAACCTTTTCCAATAAGAAAAACAATAATATATCAATTTTTCAAAATTTACAATTTGATAGTAAAATTTTACATTAGTGAAAAAAGAAAATAAAAATAGCAATGATCTAGGTAGGTACATATGTAAGCGTATTACCAAAATTCAAATATTGACATTTATATGGATCTTTAAAATTTGTGTAATAAATTTATTTAAACTTTGATTATTTCAATTTTGTTTTGACAATTTTTTTTAAATATTAAAAAAAAAAATTTCTTTGGGTCAGTTTTTTAAATTTTACAAAATTTAGCCGGTTACTTGCTTTTTTGCATTTTGTGCTACAATAATACAAAGAAAATGACATATACATTAGATATACTTCTTGAATACCTACATACATATGGGATCTATGTACTAAATTTTCCCATATGAAAGTACCACAAAAAGGAAACGTCATGAATTGATTTTTTTACTTTGCATAGGCAAGAACTTAATATTCGTTTTTTTTTACAACTTTTCTTATAAATCGAATATTAAATATTCATATTTTATTGGAAAATTGATTTCACTCATAAATTTAATAAAATATACTTAGTAATAATTCGAAAAATATTAAAAACACCTACCTATTACAATGTAAATGTATTCTATTTGTAAAAAATTTAAAAAAGAAAAATTCAAGTAGTTATATCTTCGACACTTAAAATTATGTTAAATATTTCAAATAAGAATTATTTTTCTATACTTAATATATTAACTTTCGAATGTTTGCTTTTATACAAATTGAAAAAATTCTATTTTTTTTTGTGAAATTCCTTTGAAAAAAAAAATCTTCAATTAAAAAAATTTGTAATGGCGTTCCGCCCAGACTTTCCAATGAATTTGCGTTAAAATAACGTTTGACGAAATTCAATTAATATCAAAAGTCTTTATTACACTTTCAATTATATGTTCACTTAATTATTTTAAATTATATTTTAAATTTTTATTTTATATTTTAGGCAAAAAGAACAAATATTTCAGAATTAAAATTATGAAATCGCCATTTTTTGACTTCGATTGGATTATGTCAAAAATCGTTTTGATAGATTCATGTGTATGTGTATGTTAATAATATAGAACTGCTGCCAATCCTTTTTGTATGCAGATATTGAATTGTCAAAAAATATTAAATTGTCCAAAACCCTTTTTGATTATTCCCATTTACTAAATACGTATATGCATAAAAAAATGTATGAGGCTGTGCATCCACAAAATACATTGTTCAAATCTTGGATTTTATTTGATATAACGAAAATGTTATGATAGTTTAGTACACATTTAAAATGTCCGGGATTAATAAATTTAAAGTCAGCCAATTCTTATAAAATTTTGTTAAATTTAATATAATAGAAACTAACAGAAATATTCATTAACATAAGTAAGACACGAAATCTTTTTTAAAAAATTTTCTTGATATAAAGTAAGTAATTAAACGCACAAACCATTTAAAAAATGATCGAACTAAAATGTAATTCTGATGAACATGTTTAATTATTCTTGCAAATCCAATTGCTTTTCGTTTTATTACAATATTTGCTTTTGAAAACACAATATGCATTTAGAAAAAAAAAAAATTTTTTTCAGAAATATTTTATAAAAATATAAGCACTCGCAATATTTTGGATACGGACTCAAGTAGATTTGAGTTGCACTTTAAAAAGAGAAATAATATGAAACAGACCAATTCATTCAGCAGTAAAGTTCAATTAATTTAGTTTGTTTATGATAGCGACTACATAAATGCACCCCATTAGTAAACAGTGGCCGGTGCTAGCGTTAAAATTTGTGTAAAATCGTTTTGTCAAAGAATTATGTCCTTTGTCATAAAACTGTCAAAATCATATGGATTTGAGTTTAAGTTTACGTAGAAAGTCAAAATTCTAGGTTTTGAGGAACACGTGAACTATCTTTCTAAAATATTTACATATTTAACTAAATTGAAAAATGCCAAAAGAGAAAGCTGTGAAAAAGTCCAGGATACACAATGAAATTCAAAAACAAGGTTGGTGACCAAAGAATATTTAAGATTTTTGTCGGGCTAAAATAAAAATTTTTATATGAATTTTACAGGTATTGTATTTAACAAGGATTTTGGACAACATATTTTAAAGAATCCTTTGGTTATAACAAGTATGATAGAAAAATCTGCCTTAAGGCCAACGGATGTTGTACTTGAAGTAGGTCCAGGTACTGGCAACATGACAGTAAAAATATTAGAAAAGGCGAAAAAAGTGATCGCATGTGAAATTGATACGAGATTAGTTGCAGAACTTCAGAAACGTGTACAAGGTACAATATATCAACCTAAGCTACAAATTTTGATCGGTGATGTTCTTAAATCTGAATTACCGTTTTTCGACATATGTATTGCTAATATACCATATCAAATTAGCTCTCCTCTAGTTTTTAAATTACTCTTACATAGGTATTCATTTAATTGTAATTTAATTTAGCATAAATGAAAGATTTCCTTTAGGCCATTTTTTCGATGTGCGGTACTAATGTTCCAAAGAGAATTTGCACAAAGACTTGTTGCAAAACCGGGAGACAAACTCTATTGTCGTTTGAGTATAAATACCCAGCTTTTAGCCAGAGTAGATTTGCTTATGAAGGTATATAATTTTTAAATTTCTAATAAGTGTATTTTTAAATCTTAATATATTAGGTAGGAAAAAATAATTTCAAACCACCACCTAAGGTAGAATCTAGTGTCGTACGCTTAGAACCGAAAAATCCGCCACCACCTATAAATTTTGTCGAATGGGATGGTCTAACAAGAATAGCATTTTTAAGGAAAAATAAAACATTAGGTGCAGCATTTAAGCAAACTTCTGTCTTAGACATGTTGGAAAAAAATTACAAACTACACTGTTCACTGCGGAATACTGTAAGTAATAACTATAAAAAAAAAATTTAATTTTCAAGAAATAATTTCTAATTTAGGAAATTGAGAAAGAATTCAATATGCAACAAAAAGTCATGTCTATCCTTCAAAATTTAGGTGTTGAAAACTTACGAGCACGCACAATGGATATAGACGATTTTATGAAAATTCTCTTAGGTTTCAATTCCGAAGGCATTCATTTCAGTTGAAATAAGCAATTTCAGTTTTTACTTTCAAGATTTATTAATTTTAATAACAATAATAAATTTTACAAAAAACAATAAAGTACAGTATTATATTATTAAAAGGAAGAAGGTTATGCTGCGCCAACTTGAAGAATGGGTATAAATAATTTAAATGCACTTTGAACATAAGAGGTACTGTTATAAACCTACAAACATTTTTATATCTTATACAGTGTTCTTAAAAATTGTGTAATTATTTTACCTCAACAAAGATATTGGTGATGGAAGTTTTTACTTCTTCTGTTTGCTCAAACGTGTTCAATTTTCCACAAAACTTGTTAGCTATACCTCTTAGATGACGTGAAAATATTGTTGTAATTTGGACCAAACTGTCAGCTTCGCTCACTGTGGTGTGGGATTCTTTAATTATAAGTAATTCCGCAATTTTATGCATTTTGTTCATTTGGAGTGCACAAGTCTCGGCCAAACATCGTAAACCTTTTTCAAAAACCTCATGAGCATTTTCAATGTCTCCTTGAAGATAAATAAGATTCTTTTCCCAGCATCTAAAATTTCATTGAATGAAAATAAAAGAACATTGCGTATTGTAATTATTCATTATACTCTAATATTTCAGTGAAATCGGTTGGTATTCCAAAATCTTGAGTCGCTCTTTTTAAATCATTTTCCAAAATTTCCTTGGTATATGGCTCATCATGATCGTCGGCTTCCAATTCTTCTAAATCACATAATTCTTTAACTTCGTTAAGAGTTTCTTTCATTTCATCTAAGGCTTTTCCAGAAAGTGGTGTCATTAAGGATTGTATTTTAATATCGCATTGTCTTGACAACATTTCGAGAGCTTCAAGGTGTACTAGTCCATAATAATGATCAAATAATGTTTCAAAATGTAATTGTTTTTTATATGACTGCTTTTGTGCTTGCTTTAAGTTTTTTTCAATTTCTTCAGACTTTTCCTTCGCTTCTCGTAAAACCTAAGAGAAATTAAACTTAATGTATAAATATATAAATGTAATATCATTTTCATTTACCTGACTCAGATTAGGCTTTGAACTTTCAAGTCCAATAATCCTTCTTTTATTTAAAAGTAGTGGATCATTTTCTTGTAATATATTCATGGTCTTCTTTCCAATCCCTTCTAAGGTATCCAATCCACCAGTTATCACTTTATTTCCTATTGTTGTTACACCTGAAACTAATCCTATTAATGTAGACTGACGCTCCTCCTTTTTATCTTCACTACTGACATCACTTGATTTTTCTGTATCTGAGCATAATTGCTGTTCTTCCAATTTTTGGTTAATTTTGACAAGTTCCTCTGGCTCAGGAATGCCAATGCTATTTTCCAAAACTTGGCTTACATGTGTTGTTAATGAGGTGACGCCTTCTGTAGCTGTGGATAATAGTGACGTCACCACCCCTCCCCAAGGTTTCCATCCGTTCCAAGAATCATTATTTTGAGAGTCTTGAGCATTGTTTTTGAAATTTTGATTATTTTTGCAAGGCTCCAGTTTCGCATCGTTAGCTAATTTATTATTTGAGTTATTCAGATCTTTGCTAACTGTATCAGTTGCAATCCACTCGTCATTGTCATCAAAGTCGTCCCAAGCCGTATCATCATTTTCCTTTTCTTTTGAATTAACTAGAATCTCTCCATGTTTTGGAGTTTCATTATTTTGCTCAGTCATTTGTTTAAGACAATTTGTATTGGAAACAGTTTCGACCCCTGATTTGGTTTTATTCTCACTGGTAATACATATCTTATCGTCATCATTCCAATCGTCAAAGTCCCATTCATCATCTTTGCTTTCTGAAATTTTTGCATCGACTTTTTTCTTTTCGTTTGTGCTTTTATCCGATTCATGTTCCTGATAAATTTTTTCTTTTTCATTAAAATTTTCAGGAAATTTCTTATCTTCTTCCAATATTGTAATGTCTGATTTACTATGTCGTGCTTCAATCTTCACATCTATATTAGAACTTATATTCTTTGCTAAATCTCCCGAAATTTTATTCGTATCAATATCAATATTTAGTGGTGGTGTGATCACTTTTTTTTCAGTATTTTTCATAATTTCGGACTTTAAACTATCATTTTTTTCCATTTCTCGATCATCCTCCCCGTTCCAATCATTTTCATTCACATTTTTGACCTCTGAATCACTTTCTGTACCTAAATTACATATTTTTTCTGTCACTTTTTGCATATCATTTTCTAGAATATTAATTGCTGTGTTTCCCTGCTCCGATTCCAGCTCTGGTTCGGTTTTAATATCTTTCTTTAATTTTATATTGACCTTTTCAACTTTTGTGGAGATTTCCTTCCCTCTATGGCATATTTCGGTTTTTCTGGCATTGTTTTCTGGCTTTTTCTCAAATTCTTCATAATCTTCTTCAGCGCTTAAAAATTCTTCACTATCAGACATTTTAGAAAGTTTGTGCGCGTATCAATTTTTTTTTAAATACTTATTTTACAAAAAAATTTTGCTAGCGAGCACAAAACAAATTAACAAGAAACATTAACTTTTCGCCAACTGGCAACTAGACAAGAAAACGTAATTAAAGGAAATGTCAAAGTTATTGTCATTTTCAAACTTCAAACTTCTGTATACATTTTTAGTATCATGACAAATTGAGTAAATTGCTAGGAAGTATTTTCGTATAGTGTTGCCGTATAGGAAAATAAAAATTTTATTCCCAATAACCAAAATTGTTAAGATTGATTGCATTATTATATTTTATCAATTTAATACCTTCGTCTTCTTAATTCATTGTAACATTTACGGTTTACTTCATAATCAAGGACGTCATTAGGATTTTTATTAAAGTAACGATACATAAAATAACATTGTTTATTATTAATTAGTAACTAATGCAACAGAGTTTACATTATCCGATTGACTACTAATATTTAACGCACTAATATTTTATAAATTTATTATTTATAGGGTTGGTATTGGTACACTAACCTTATACCCAGTAGACAAAAAATCTTTGTAACTTTTGGAATTTTTTGCCATGCATAGAATCCGGTTTTTGGCATTTTGTTTCATACGCAGTTTTGTAAAGCTCCACGAAAAGAATTCTAAATAAAGTGAAAACTGTTGTAAAATTAGTAAATTTCTTAATTTTTATTTAATTTAAATTAAAATAAACAATATTAAAATGTAAATTATTAATATTTTATGAAATAAAATGTAAATTTAACAATTTCAAAATTAGTGTTAAACTGTGCTTCGCGACGAAAAATTTTCCTTATTTGTAGCTTGTAGTAGTGTTTGTGAATATCAATAGTAGGATAAAAATGGAATAACGATGAATGTGTTTGTAATAAAATTGACAGCTGTGCTACAACTTTCAAAAAATCTTCAACTACGTAAGATGTATTTCTAAACAATAATTGTGAAAAAGTTTAATATTATTATTGTTAGTGATATAAAATATTATTTATACAAAAATAATTTAAAATGTATTTTGTATTATAAAATTGTGTAAAATTAAAAAAAAATAAAAATTATATTGCAATGGCAAAAACCAATATTTAAAATTTTTTGAAATATACAAACCCTAAAAGTTTCGATGATGGGCAAATCGAAATTTCCTGGTAAACCATCAAAATTAGTAAATAAAAAGCGAATAAGTGTGTTGCAAAATTCAAATTATGACGAACATGTAGAAAAAAAAGATGGTCAATGGTTTGACAAAAATCCTGAATCCCAAGTTCAAAACTTTGAATATTCAAGTGATGAACCCAAAAGAAAGGTATGTTTCAAACATTTTTTTTTTATATTTAAAAAATAAAGTAAGATTTGAAAGTAAAAAATAAAAAATACAAGAAATTTTAAAAAAGGGCGCAAAATTCATTTAATAAATTTCTTAAGTAAAACAAAAACATGCATTTTTTTCTTAAAAGATGGCGAGCAAAACTTGTTTGCGAAAAGTTTTGGGGAAAATATTTCAAAAAAAAAAAAAAAATACAAATACAAAGAAAGAAAGCGCCTTGACTTGACAGATAATATAACTATGTGCATAGGTATATGTATATATTCGTACAGAAAAAATGCGAAAAAAAAAGAAAAATACGTAAGATTTTTTAATGTGTAAAAATATGAATGTGAAATAGTTGCACAACTTGTTCCAATCCGAGTTGTCGTTATAGTCCTTTTCTTTGTAATTCCATAACATTTTGTTTTGTAAAATTTGTCTGTAAAAATTTCAATTTAAATATTTGAGTACCTACTCACATTTAATGAATTGCAAAAATAATATAGATTTATTTGCGTTCGCATTTTTCTTGGTTTATTTATTTAAACAACCCATTTTTATTTATTAGAATTTAATTTTTGTAGATTTTATTAATCATAAATGTAATTTTTTCAATTAGTATTTCTAAATTATTCTTAAATATTTGAATTATTATGACTAAATTAATAACGAAATTATCAATTTCACTTAAAAATTAAATTTACATATATTCGTGTCAATACATGTTATTTTTTTTAATTTAAATACTAACTTTAATATAATATATTTATGTACATAGGAACATACATAATTCAAATGAATTTTAATATCATTCATTCTGGCATGCATCATTTTCACGTAATATTAGCCAAAATTGATGTTATTATCAAAAATTTTAAATTGGGTACTTAATAAAATGCAATATAAATAATAAAATAATTCCAAAATATCTTTTTGAGAAATGGTACTTTATTATGAATTTGGATCCTTTTTTTTTGCTTTTTACCCCCAAAACCATTATATTTGGATTATATCCTTTTTCATTAAGCTTATTTCTAAATAAATTAATTATTTATGATTTCATCATAAAATAAAAGAAACGCAAATTGTACATAAACCAAAGCCAAAATATTTATTCACTAAATATGTAAAATACAACTTTAATTTTATTCAATATCTCATTCATAAATAATTTTACTTTATATACCCACTTATAATTCTTTTATCCTAATTGTATTTAAAATTGAATACTTAATATAAATACAACAATTAATTTAAATTAAAATTCATTTTTAAATTCGTATCTTACGGTAACACTATTTAAAACAAAAACACTATTGTATTGGTTTGAAAGCAAATAAATGAGAAATGATATGAAAACAACAACAACAACAACTATTATAAAATATAGTATACATATATAATAATAAAAAAAATAATAACAACATAGTATAATGAAGCAACGTCAAAATATATTTTTATTTTTGTTTATTTTTTTTATAATTTTATTTTTTTTTTTTTAAATACCAGTAAAGGAATATTTTAATGTGGGGTAAATAAAGTATCTTTTATACATACATATATGAATGAATGTATGTACAATTATATTTACCTTAAAATATAATTTTTTATTTAATTGTACATACATAGATACGCACATATACAAAGGTACTTAAACATTATTATTATTATTTTTTTTGTCTTCAATATCCAACTTCTTTTTAATTTTTTCGATTAAATATATAATAACTATAAGTACTATATAAGTATGTATGTACATACATATTATGTCTTTTACTTGTATATACATAGGTATATAAATAATATAATTAAAATGAGAATAAAAAAAAATGTGATACGTTTAATAAAAAAGACCTTAAGAAGCATGCTTAATTTAAAATATTCTTAAAAATTCAAATTAGTTGAACTGGTTAAAGAAAAAGAGGAATGAAAAATCAAAGAGTACGAAGAAAAAAAAAAAACGGCGAATAATTATATATATATAGCTACTTCTCAGGTGGTAAAAAGTACGGGTACTTCTAGAAGGGCTAGAGACATGGGACAAAAGGCATTAGGTAGAATTTTGCCTCTAGGGTACCAGAAAAATCTGACATTGGAACTTTTTAGCCCCGAAATAGCTCTATTTTAAGATTTTCTGAAAAAATTTTTGTATAACAAAAGCACGTTTTTCTTTTATACTTTTTATAATTAGAAACACAAACCAAGAAATAAATGATACGTTTTACGTTATTTTTATTATTAGAAACACAAACCGAGAAATAAATAATATTTGAAAATGCAATGATCTCACATATATTTTAATTTCGAAAAATCGAAATAAACTTAAATAAATGTCAGATTTTATAAAAGACATCAGATGTTTTGTGGCAACTGAATATTAATGCTTCATTTGTTATTGTTTTGAATATTATGTTTCGTCAGGAAGCTTTAAAAAAATATACATACACAATTTATGTACGTATGTATCTACCTAAAATTTTATTTTTATTGTTCGAGCGAAAACCTGTAAAAAATGCTAAATTCCAATCCATTCATATATACATACATACACACATATATTCATATATACATTCATACACATATTTTTACATACATAAATTATTATTTTGTTTTTGACTAAACCTTTTCTTTATGTTTAAAATTCAATCCTATATGTTTACCCACAGTTTAAAAAAAACAGGTATCTATTCATAATTATGTATATTTGCATTTATAATTTTATTTATAATTTTTCCAACAGCAAAATTTCAAAATTTTCGATTCTAATACATTCATATGTACATACGTTCATATGTTGGAACGAAAAATTTTAAAATCTTCAATTCTAATCCATTCATATATACATACATACACACATATATTCATATATACATTCATGCACATATTTTTACATACATAAATTATTATTTTGTTTTTGACTAAACCTTTTCTTTATTTGAGAAATTAATTTTTGTAAGTTTACCCCCATGATATAATAATTATGCGTTTAAAATTTATTTCTATTTATTCTACAGTTTTGAATATTATTAAATTCATATAGAAAGCTTAAAAAAATTACTCAGTAAGCTTTAAAAAAAATATACATACTACATACATATTTATGTACTTAAAATTTTTGCGAATTTTTCCAAACTATTATAAGAATATTTTTTTGGAAATTTTCTTTAAACTTTTATATAACATTTATCAGTTATATATTAAAAAAAAATAAAACACAAAATTTAAACAAAATAAAAAAAAAAATTTTTAAAATAATCCAAAAAAAGAAAAATACAACAATCCAGGCAAGCATTGATCCAATAACCTTCTGGCTATGAGACTACCACGCTAACCACTAGGCTACGCAGTACCTTGAATTTCCCTTAATAATTCTACATTTTATTCATATATCGTATAACTCATCAAAAACCATCATATTTTACATTATATATATATAGCTACTTCTCAGGTGGTAAAAAGTACGGGTACTTCTAGAAGGGCTAGAGACATGGGACAAAAGGCATTAGGTAGAATTTTGCCTCTAGGGTACCAGAAAAAGCAAGAATTCCACCCGCCCTCCCCCTTCACCCCCTCCCAAGATGTTTTGTAACCGTTTTTTACAAAATGGTTTTACATCCTGTAGGGGTAATTTTTTACTTACTTTTGGAAGTATTAATATTGTATATAAATTCATTTTTGGAAGTGTGAGTTATAACAAAAAATGAAAACTTTCTTAAGAAAATTGTTTTAATAAAATCTACATTGTTTTATAATAAGTGTGTACATATGAATTTA